AATTTTAAGAAACCTGAGCTCTAATGTGCTTGCAAGTTTGAATGACAGATTGCTAACAGGCAACCTAGAAACATATCCTAGCCTCCCAGACAAGGAAACAGTGCTTCACTCCCAGCCCACATTGTGAGAAAACAGGAGATACTCGCTGCAATGTCCCTCAAAGCACTCAGGAGAACCTCCTTGTCCAGCCAAGAAAGGAGTCAGCCTTTCTTCTGACAATATTTTAGAGGAAGATGAATTAATTTATCTCAAATTTGCTACTAAACCCCCCTCCTCACACTTCAGTAGGGATTTCTATTGTTCTGTATAAAAAAAAAAACCCCAAACTTTCAATTTTCCTAACCTACTAAATGAGAGTTTAAAAAAAAAAAAAAGTGAGCCTACTATAAAATATTTTTGGAGCTTAAGTATTTTTGCCATGAAAAACCAGCAGCAGCTCCTGGCTCTGTGCTCCCTACGCACCACTTTGGCGTGACCTGAGCACCACCAGCAGCATCACCTCTAGCCTGGGAACCCAGCACTCCTCACGTGGTGCTGCTAACGTCGGGCGTTGGACACACTGACCTCAATAAATGATCAACAAACACTTTGAAAGTAGCCCCTTGATTCATCTGTAGTTGAACAAAGACCTGGGTGAAATGAGCTAACTGCAACGCGTGCTCTTTTTATGCTTTTGTTACAGAGATGCAGTTAAAACTCAGAGACCGTTCCAGCTCTGAGAGTAAACACTGCATTTTAAGAACTTAGTCTGCCTTTCAGAAATGTCCATTGAAAATTTCCATTTGAAAACAAACTAGTTATCAGCTTATACTGTCCGAGGCAAAAATGCCACCGTGAGTGGTCTGCATGAAGCCATATTTTCTTTTGCCAATTTGCACGTATTTATTCTTTGAAACACGAATCATACCCACCCCAATATTATTGCGGTTCCATGTTGCAAGTGCACCGTGCAAGTGCCTGCTTTCTTCACAGCATCCGATCTTGTCATGTGTACAAAAGCTGTTCTGTGCTGAATTCCCAAGCAAATACACCCACAACCCCCTCAGAACATTAACCACAGCCGTCCATTTTGTGTGGTGCACTTTGAGAAGGATCGCTTTGGGAAATACTCTTTCAGGTAGCTGCTCCGGACACCCAGCAAAGCACAGGAGCCAGATGGTATCCGTGAAGGGAACAAAGTGCCACTTCACATCTTGGAATAAAGCTGAGGGCTGCACCCCAACAAACATTTGCCGCATCACTGTCAGGCCTTATTTATTTACATTTTGCAGCACCCAGGCTGCCCGTTAGCACGTGCAAACCTACCTGACAGAGTAAACCAAAAAATGTTCAGCTTCTCTCTGGATTTTAAATGGAGAAGTGTTTTACTAAAGCAACATCAAAACATTTGATTGTGACACAGTGATACAGAAATAGCTATTACAGTCTAAAATCTGCCCTGGAATTTATCTGCTTCATTAGACTGTCTTCCAGTGCTTTCAGTCTGTTTGTACATACAACAGGGATCTGTGTGTTGTTAAGTCCAGATTTTCTTAGTCAGGACAGCAATTGCATGTATGTCTATAGTACATGATGCATATCTTGATTTATTCCTTTGTACAACAGCTTCATTTCAGACATACGGTGCTGCAGCAGTCCCTCAGTGCTGGAAGCTGTTAATCTGCGTTTTGCAAGCCTGCCTTTGTCTCTGGGCTGAGGTCTTATTGTATTTTCATCACTTATTAAAAATAGCTGGTAGTATTGTCAAATTAGTGGGATTAACCTACTTTAACAAGGAAATTAGGTCAGTTGCTATATTCATGCCCAGCCTTCAGCTCTCACGTATTGTTACAGCTCTCTTGCATCCTAGAAGACAGGCGGTTTCCTGTGGAAAATACAGATCTGTGTGCAGCAGCCTGCAAACACCACACTGACGCCAGCATGGTGGCGTGGAGGCCCCATTGCTCGTTATTGGTCTCTGCTGATACAAACCTCTTGGCCAGAGAAGCAATGATGTACCATAGCCTGTACAGAGGCGCCCCATAAGCAGGTTGTTTGTGGCGGTGAAGACAAATTGCACTGTTACATACTTCTGATATTTGAAACTCACCTTAAAATCAGGCTCCAAAGCAGTTTTTGAGGTTATCTTCACCAAAGCACCTAGGAACACCCCTTCCAAACTTACCTTACCTGAAACGGAGGCTGAGATGAAACAACCATTGAGGAACACATGTGGCCAGCCTTCAGGCTACTGATCCTCTCTGACCAGAGGCCAGGGAGGGAAGGGGTGGCAGCACCTGACCCGAAGTAACAGGTCTCGGTAGCTGTTGTGGCAGCTGAAACACTGGGCGTGCTGGGGGAAAGGAGCAGTTCTTTGTGCTTGTGCCACCGCCTCTGGCTAGGTGGGGAATGCAAGGCCCGGCCGCTCATCTGCCATGCAACCATGGGGAATGCAAGCGCTCACAAGACGAAAGGCTTAGTGGACACATCTCTGCTCACCCCATCCTTAGCTTTTTAAGTCCTCCTTTGCTCTTGGCCCCTTATGTTTTTCACTACAGTTACTAAGTAGATCATAAATTCAGAACTGATAATTGTTCACTGAGGCAAGGGAGTCTGTTGTGCATCCCCGAACAGAGCTTGCTCCTGCCTCTTGTCACCCGTGACTCCCTGTGAGAGCTCCAGGATAGAGCTCTTAAGTCTGTTGCTTTCAGAAAAATTTTTATTTTTCCTCCAATTTCCCCATGCCAAGGAATCTTCATCATCATCTTCCCAGTAAAAGGACAGGATTGGCCTCTAGATAATGCACCAAGAGAGAGGCAGGGAGGGAATTACCCTCCGGCATTTCTCTGACAACTCATCCTCTCCAACCCGGTTCGCAGTCACTCTCTCGCTTTCACACTAGGGCAGGAAAATGAACACATAGGGAAAACACACTGCAGTCCCATGGAATTCAGGCAGCTAGCTATCTCCATCTAGGAAAAATAACTGACAGTTAACAGCATGCCTTGTCGTTTTTCTCTCTGCTTTGAGCTTACCCATAACTAACAAAGATATTGCGATTTCTGCGTATTAATTGCACTCCAGAAAAGGAGAGAGGAAAGCAAGCAGGACAAATCCAGCCTGTCCAGGGCATTCCTTCCTCTAGCATAATGAGCTGCCACGACTCAACCTTTAGCATTCCTTGGTATCCATTTCTCCGCTCCACATGCACAGGTGCTGCTAAGGCAGGCTGCATTGCCAGGAAGCCTAAGATTACTCATGGGACATGTGAGCTGCTGCAGAACCGCCCCCCCAAGGACCATCCAGAAAAGTCTCAGGAATCCTCACAAGCACCCTTGGGATTCCATACTGTGGTACTTTTTAGCAGATGACAGAAAGAAAACCTTTTCTGGTTTTTTTGGGGGGGTTGTTTTAAAGTGTGCAGAGAAGGCAGAGAACAAAGCCATGTACAGCACACACAGACTCTCCCAGCCCCTGGGTGAGCTGAAAAGCAAGTGTCTAGGTTACGTTAAACAGCATCCTTCGCAGCCTCTCCACCACCTTTACGCAACATATGGAATATGCAGGCAAATGAACATTGCCAGGGATGTCTCTGTGAATCCCACCAAGCTGGGACTGACAGATCCTACATACAGCTTTTTCTTTTCCCGATTTCCAGGATCGTTTCCACACAGGAGCCAACTGAACGTTCTTTAGCTGTGAAGCAGATCCGGATTTTGTAACATGATGTCATTGCCTCAGTGCTCCCCAAAAGAAATGCATAGACTTAAAGAAGAAATCAATTATGGTAGCAGCAAGCAACGTGCAGATCAAAACAGCATTTATCGCCTCTACGGCATGTGACGTGTCAGCGGGTATTTTTTTGTCCATTAACACCACAAAGCACAACTAGGAAGCAGAAGCAAGTTCCAAAGATGTGTGCAACCCACATCAGCTCACACAGGTAAGCGAAATGACAGATGACAACTGCAAGATGGATAACCTAAGAGTAATAGGATGCTTGCAGCATCTTTACTTTTTCCTGGATCATTACAGGTCAAGCAGAGTCACATTTTCATTGCGCATTAAGCGCTCATTTTGCATTGTTAAATGTCACTCCTCAGAGCTAATGGCTTCAGGAACCAGGGATAACCTCGTGCCCAAATTAAATAAATAGCACCACAACTTGTTGTCTTGTAGCAACATAGCATATCCCTGGCATTCTCCTTGGCAACAGGAATATACCACAGGCAAACGCTGTAAGCAATGAACATGTAGAAAGGGGGCATCCTGTCCTGCCACTCCCTGCAGGGGTAGGTGGGCAGATGCTCAGCTCTTCCCCCAAATGAGCAAAGACATTTGGCAGAGTTCATGTGTGCTTTACCTTGTAGCAAACATTGCCCTCAGGGAAGAGAAGGTAGCAGCATCTTCTTTCAAAGCCTTCAGCTCATTTCGCAGCTTCATCATCGTCTCCGTAACCATAGCTTTCTCATTTTCATACTTGCTCTTCAGGTTGGCAAGGGCTACCTCTGCAGTCTATTGTTTAGCAAGAAGAACAGAAATGCACTCGTTAATGACAACCCTCACACAGCGGCTGGCTAAGAGATTCCTGATCACTATGCACATAATGGAACATTTACTTTGCACTGCAATGTTAAACCCCTGGTCAGCTTTTCTTGTACAGATTAAATAACATTTCATTTTTGAACACTGGAAACAGATCAGACATACGGATCTCCTACTCCCATTAACCATGCAGCAGCATCTAGGGAGTTACAGAATATATGTTTAGTGACACCTATCTCCAACTACCAAAAAAAAAAATTGAACTTTACATACTTCAACACAAAAAACAACAACAAAAAAGTCTATTTAGTGTGTCTATATTCAAACGCATTGATCAGTCACTTGCACAGTTCTCTAACCCTTTGAGGATTTTGCATATCTTACATTTTGGGACACCTTTATCAAAATGTGCAAAAGCAAGCTAAAAGAATGTGTATACTTCTTAAACAACACTATACTTTTTTTTTTGAAGACAATTTCAATGTGCAATACATTAACTTTAGAGGAGACAAGGAAGCGTGTCATATGGTGTCTTAATGGCTGTTATTTTCATCTACTGCACTGCCAAATGGCACAGCCCAATCCCCAGACTAATTTTACCTTTCACCCCTGTTATTTTGACCATGTTCTTCCATCACACCCTCATCTTGAAAGGCTCTCTCTTATTTTGAAATTTGAGAGAGAAGCGTACATAAATTTAAGAACTCCTTTAAGGGTAATTACTAGAAATCTTTCAAGCAGAAAATAAGTTTTACCTCTTAATTTCAAGTGTTTTACATTAAATATAGGCTGATGTAATTCAGACAGGCAGTAGACTGAAGCTACCTTAAGCTCAATAAAAAGTCTCATGAGTATGTGATGAGCAGAAGTCCGTTAAAGCCCCAGCACGTAGCTGTGCAGTGGGACAGCTATGGAGCAGCCCACCCCAGCCTTGTGCCAAGCAAACATTAGCAGCCAAAGCCTCACGGAGTTGAGAGTATGGCAGTACGACCTCAGAGATGAATTCTTGTGTGTTTATCACCCAATTCCCTGATACTATAACCTCCACATCTGCAAGACCTGGTTACCTGTTTGTTGGCCTTCAGCACAGTTCTCAGAGTTGCTATCTGTTCTCTCTTGGTGCTCAGCAAGGACTTCAGCTTCAGGATTTCTTCCATGAGAGCTTCCTTGTCTTTGTCCACCACCGGCCCAAGTTCTTGAGTGGCAACACGCTGCCTGGACAGCTCAGTGGTTCTGTCCACAGCAGCTTGCAGGTGTTTGATCTGATCCCGGATTATAGCGATCAAGTTGTAAATGTTCATTGGTTCCTTCCGAGGATCCGACACAGGAGACGGCAGAGATGACACCGGAGATGGACTGCTGTCACCACTTCCATTCTCTGCCTTCCCTAGCTCTATAGTTAACAGCCCTTTAGAAAGAAGAATGGGAGACCTTCTCCCCTTGGCCTCTGGACTACTGTGTCCACCTTTACCTTCCTTGTAGTAATCCAGCATCACTCTGTTTGGAGTTTCGTTGTTGCACATGCAGACGTGGTGGTATAAATTGGCCAGTTCTTCACTGAAGGTGACTAGTTCATCTTGGGCTACACTGAGGCTGCCCTGTGTTTCTCCAGCAACATCGCTGACTTTCTTCAGCTCCTTCTCCAGTCTGGCCACTTGTTCTCTATCATGCCTACTGGATTTTTCTAGGGAAGTGATCTTTTCAGTGAGGGCTTGGCTCTCGGTCTCGTATCTGCTCTTCTCTTCTTCATACTTAGACTCACATTCTTTGTATTTGGCCTTAAGATTTTTAAGCTCTTCTTTTAGGTCAGTAATCTCTGCCACAGCCACTTTGTACTTGCACTCCAGGATCTCTGGCCCATTGATGTCAACTTCGTAATAGTCTCCATCTTCATGGCTGTCTCGGTCCTTCTCATTGTCAAGGGCAGACTGACGTTCCTTGCTGACCTGGAGCTTCTTCATTGCGTTCAGGTTTTCTGTGAGTCTTCCAACCTTCTCATGCTGCTCTGAGAGGGCCCCCCGTGTATTTTCCAGCAGCTTTTGAGATTCCTGTAGCGTTGTTAACAAGTTCACCTTTTCTCTTTCCATCTGAAATGCATGAACACAGACACCTATGAAAAGGGAACTGTATCTCTTAAACAGTTTTACTGTAAGAGACAGAAGCTTAGCGAAGGTCCGTACAGTTACAGAAATGCGATCACTTGCACATTATGGAAAAAGCTATTTAATTTATTCTAAAACTATCTCAGGCACAGCGCTCCTTGCCAATTCTCTCTCATTTCCACTCCAAAATGCACATTTTTATACATTTCTTCCATAGCTGATGGTCTCATTGTGAAAATGTCCTTCCAGCTGACCATAAGCTGAAGTTTACTGTTAGCTTGCAAATTATCAAGTAAGTATTAGCAAACATGTAGCTCATCTATGGAGGAAGCTTGGAGCTTCATGAAAGACTCAGAAATAGTGAAACTTTTGAAGTTTCTTCTCTGAAAGTTATCATTTTGAAAAGGTCCAGCAATTTTTCCACAAAGGCTTTTTCTTATAGAACATGTTAAAAATGCTTGACAAAATAACTTTAAAACATTTCTAGGCAACACAGGTAAGTACCTTGTTTCAAACTCTCCAACCTCCCAATAGCACAAATATAACACAGAAATGCTTGGTACTGATTAAAACTTCAAGTTCTTTGAACCAATTACAGAGAATCATTATGGTATACCGAACTCCCTTTCACGAAGATGACTGGAGGGACTCTCAATTTTGAAGGAAATGCTATCTTTCTCACTAGCAACACAACGAAGCAGACACTGCACGTACGGCACAGAAGATGCATTACAACCTTCCTCCAAACACAGGACATGTCTGCTAACTCCTTTGCATTAAAAAAAAAAAGCTATGGTTTTCCACTGGCAAACATTTAACATCCTCAAATTCTAAATCAATCAGAGCCTTTACAAATACAGTTGACACTGTATGGTGGCCAGGTGAGATATTGAAAAGACTGAAATTACAACCCAAATAAACTCTAGCAGCTATTTAGAAGTAGGCAGTTGTTTAGGAAACCTGTTTACCTGCACAAGTTGTTGTTTCAGCTTCTGGATTTCAGAAATGTTTAATTCACTCAGAAGGTCTGAAACCAGACTTGGGGCTGGAGGGAAGCTTTCATTTTTCTTGGGCGTTGACGTACTATTCTTGCCATTGCTGAGTTTGCTGAGGCAGTTTTGTTCAAATCCATTCATGATTTCATCATTATTGGGCTCTGTGGCTTCATCGCTGAACTTCAGTCCATCCAGAGAGATGTTCAGGTGGCTGTTGTACATGGAGTCATTGATGTTCATGTAGTGAGAGAGCTCCTTACGAAGGTTGTTCTTCTGCTCCCGCTCCGTCTTCAGTGTCTCTAAGGCCTCCTCAAGCTGGCGTTCGGAGATCTCCTTCAGCCGTATGGCATCTTCTAGCTGGCTGTTGAGAAATTCTGTTTCCTCTTCAAGCCTTTTGATTTCGTGTTTCAGGCCTTCAAACTCCACCTGGAGATACACAAATGGAGAGGAAAAAACCCCTAATGAAAACGTCTGCCCACCAGGCACCAAGCAATTTTACTTTTGAACATTTGATTTCACTAAATATGGTGAGAACAGATACTTTTTTCAATTCTGGAGTCTAGTTTTGGCACCCTGACTGCAAACACTGCTTACATAATTCACCTTCACAGAGACCACGGAATAAAATCTCTAAGCAAACCATTGAATGATCTGATCTATTGCAGCTTAATTAAGACAGGCGGGAGATAAGGGCGTGATACAGAGGCATCACAAACCAGGCTTTCCTAGCACATTATGCAAACTCTTTCTCTGTTTGATTAACAAATCCCCTGGCCAACCTTCCCACAAAGTCAAGCTCAACATTTCCAAAACCCAGCATCGCCAAGCTGTGCTGCTGACACTGCTGCACTGCTGTTAGAATATACCACTGGCTTAAAATTGTTAGGATGCACCTAGCAATCAAACTCTGCTTTTATACATCCCGCATAAAATGTTTTACCATTTCTGTCATCACCGTTTCAGCACATCTTAAGAGCGCCACAGTTCAGACTCTACACTTCAGACTCAGAGTGCTGCTACGTGAAATTTGATGGCACGCTAGAAGTTTTTACCTGTAAAACTGCATTTTTTTTTAAACCTCTCTTGCACTGAAATTATGAACACCAACCATTAGCGTAAAATTTTGAATCCCTGGGGGGGGGAGCAGAGGGAAGCTGAAAGAATACCTTTTCCTTACCTTGAAAGAAAGGAAAACATGCCACATGATATATGACCCTACTGATTTCTGCCAACTGCTAAAGGAATTTTAGATGCTGATCTGGTAGTGCTGAACCACACCCGATTTAAAAACCACGTACCGATCTTGTTAATTCAGTTTTGCAAATTAAGCCTGGGAAAACTTGATGGCATCTTCCAGTTATGTCAGTGGGATAATTAAAGCATAATAAAATTCATCAAGTAGGATTAGGACAAGGTAGAAAATTAAATAATCCATGAAAAGAATTAGCTCTTGGTTCTATAGATGTCGACTGAGCTCAAACATCTAAGACAGCAGCCTATTTTCAAAAGTTCCAGAACACAAACGCAGTAGTCAATCATTCCTAGCAACTGACACGATGGCGTCTGAGGTTAAACGTGGCTCAGCCCAGAATGACAGCATTCTTGAACACTGTTATTTTAGAATGCGAACACGGAGCTAGGAACTTCTACTTGCTCCTCTGAACACAATGAATGAGACAAAAAGAGGTAAAACCCAAAAGTAACCAAGTACATAGGTTGAATTTTACTGGATCGCTATTTCTCTCAGTCCACATCTCGAGCATAACAGCCCCTTCATCCCTACCACATGATGTCAGGGCACCCAAACCAGCATAATTAGATCAAATATATTCCGGTGGGAACAGGTCCAACCTGGAGCCCCCTTTTGGGCACACCGGTAAGGCCAAAGTGATAAACAATGGAGTTTCAGGTGGAGATAAATGAAATACGTTCAATATCCCAAACACCTTGCCTGTTGGGGCAGCTTTCATTCCGCATGCTGGAGGAGATATGAAGCAAATCCTAATACGCTTTTGCTACATGCTCACTACAACAGATGGTATTAACACTACTGTTGTCTTCAAAAGCTTTTATTTCAGGAATGTTATACCATTTTCTCAATTGACCCTTGAGCTTTATTTATACAATGAGACTGAAAGGTACCTGAAAAATAAAAACAGCAAGTCACTGATTGCTAGATGAAGATAAGCGAACTGGGGCAAAGACCACATCTAATCTAATTACCTCCGCAGGTGATAACTGAAGGAAATTCTTGAGTTGTTCCAAAAATGCAGTCTTCTAAAATGCTGAAAATAGTGGAACTGTGCAACCAACTGTGACTTTTCAGATGGGCAGTCACATGGGGCTGACAGTGCAGAGCGACTACAACAGCACTCCCTGTTCAATGAAAGCAGCTGGGAGAGAGGAGGTGTACAGAACTGGAGAGGTAATGTAAGCACTAAGGAGCAGCAAAGACATACACTCAGAAATACAGCCAGTTACAGACACTGCAGAAGAGGATGGATGGACAGATGGACGGATGGAGAGTACTGCAAAGAGACACTGAAACACCAGTGTAGCAAAAAGACTAAACAGACTAACAAAGCATGCTGGTAGAGACTTCGCTTCCATCCAAGAGAGAGACGGCAAAGGAAGGACTTGAAGGTCAAAGTAAACAGAGTCAGAAAGGACTTAAACATTTTGGGACAACTCTTGGTAGTAAAAAACTGAGCTTATTGTCTCAAAAGCAGCACAAACATAGAAAAGAAGCGGTTGGATGTTCAAATAAGAGAGCACCATGCCCTAACACAGGAATTAGCTGGTGCTACCAAATCAACGATTGCTATTTGGAAAAACTTGCCTGATTTTGCTTCAGGACAGACACTTGTTTCTGCAGACAGATGTTTTCCTCTTCGAGCTCAGTGTAGTCTTGCAGCAAACGCGCTTCTCGGAATTTATATTCCTTAATATCATCTCGCAGACGGGCCCTTTGGATCTCCACGTTCTGATTGACCTAGAAAAACAAACCAACCCCTAAATGGTGGTGATTTGGTCAGCTACAATTAAATTTCAAAATTGTATCTTTCCTTACGTGCACTAATCAATTAGATTCTATTCAAACAGAAACTCCTCCCCACCCCCGAAATGAAATGACAGAAACCCAAGTTATTTGCACAACAATCAGATTTTTTTTTCTTGCTTCTCTTAACAAATTCTCATCCTCGACTCAAAGAAAAGTTCACAAGCAAGCAGGGGAAGCAGCATTCACACCGATGCTGCCTCACTGCCTGTAACCAACAGACAAAGTTTCAGAAGTCAATGCCTGAACCTGTTACCCCTTAAGCAAGAAGGGCCTGTTCACAAGAGCAAGACAGATTCAGGTAACTCCAGAGGTTCTTACTCGGACACGTCCTTGCTGCCGCTTTTCACCAGATATGATCTTTATGCCCTGTTCTGTATGCCCAGTGCAATAATTTGGAAATACGTTTTAATGAATCCTTTTGGAGAGCGACACAGAGTTAAAGCTCAAATTAATTCCAAAATCCCAGGCAGAAAGAAATAGCAACTGTGGTTGACTTATAAAATGTTCCCTGCCCTGAGCCGCAAGGCTTATGCAACACCTTAGAGAAAGACTTTAAAAAAAAGAAATCCCCATTACTGTTTCAGGATAGACAAGAAGTGACAATCAATACATTGGTGTCGTGTGATCTTTAGATCTTTTGTGAATATACAGACACTTAAATAAACAGAGCTAGCACATATGTGAATGTCCATGTGAATGTCTCGCTGAAACTTAGCTCTATTTTTTCCCCAACATTATTTTCCTTCAAGCCACATCTTTAAACACTTAATTAAAGTGAAAAATATGTTGTAAGGGAATAGCAAAAATATCTGCAGATAGATAAATAGGCAGTATAGTTGCCTATAAACACAGTATTCAGTATTTCAGCAGCCATACCCATGACGTGACAGGCTGGGTTTCCAAACAGTTCTAAATCATCTCAAACCAAACACGAGCTTGTGGAAGAGGCAGCCTATCGATCTGGCGAGGTTATGGTACCCCATATCTGTTTGCATCTACTCAGCAGCCTAGCCAAAAAGCTTCACTCTCCGGCATACAAACTCAGATCTCCTTGGTGTTTTCCGCTCCTGGTTAGCAACAAGAATGTCAGCAATGAATAAAATATGGTCTTGGTCCCCTTGCAAGCGTGCAGCAGGGACAGACAGAAGAAACACAATGGGCATCAGCAGGCACCCACAGAAAGCTAAGAGATAACGGGTATGTTTGCGGCAGGAGCACATGCCAAGACTTGAATCTGGCACGATCTGAACACAAACACAGAATCACCTGCAACTGTTAAGACCAATAAATTTCAATTACAGCTCCCTCACATCTCAGGAAGAGATTAGACTATATAAACTCATCTAGTTATTTTTAGCAGTGCAGAGCACTACTTCCCAGCACACCAAGAAACTAAAACAAACATTAATTGCTGCAACCAGACGCTGTAGTGCAATAATGCAAATGGAAAGTTGTTACATCCTGCATTCCACGCCTGAGCAAGCCTTGGCTCTGTCTTTGCACAAACCCAGGGCCGCAGGGGAAGATGCGCCACAGGTACCCGAGGGCTACAGGGTGACATGAATTCACATCGGAACTGCTGCTCCTTGACAACTGCAATGAAGACTTCTTGCCTTGGGCAGAAAGCCTCCAGCCAGATCATCCAAACTGCTTCACAGTTAGGATTGCAAAAGGCTCTTGCATCAAACAGAGTTTAGCACAAATTGGGAGATCTTATCTGCAATTTTCCCCATTCCCGAGTAAGTGAAATGCAACGGAAGACCTCCCACAAAGCTACTGGCAAGCTCCTCTCCCACCATTCAGGTTGCTTTGCTCCTCTTCCTCCCCAGATGATCTAATCTCTGCAGAGGTCAATGCCTGGAGAAATCACTGGAGCCAGTCTTTTCTGGAGAAAGAATTGTTTCTGTCCAATTCTGCTCATTTAATTCAGAGCCACAGTAAGAGCTGATTATTTAATGTGGAAGTATTGTCATGCTCTGCCTAGCACAAGGAAAATCATTCTGTTTCAATGTGTACAGGAAGGCCAGATTTAAAAATAGCTCCCTTATTTCCTGGCTGGGGAAGGACGATACAGCCCAGATTTACTGGCTGTTCAGCAAGCCATACATTCAGTTTGCTCTTAGCATTTTCCTGTCAAATAAACGTGCACGCTTGCAAGCTGCACGGTTAAATTGATGCCATACTATCTCACAGAACCGATTTTTTCTGCAGGGAAGAAAAGCTACTGCATCCTTCCTTGATCAGATTTTGCTATGACCCATACGGCAAGTGGCATCACGTATTTTAAGACAGACACACATATATTGCATGTGTTCCGAAGGGTGGTGTTTTACAGTTCCTCAAGTCTACAGAAATAGGCGAGCTGACCTACAGAGGAGTTTGAACCCTGTTGCTCCAGTGGCTTGGTGGCCTCTCCCCTCCTCTGCCCTGAGCCCCCCAGAGCATGGGGAAAAGGGGGAGCAGGAACACAGGGGCCTGCCTGGCTGGGCTCCCAGCAGCACGGGAAGTCACAGGTGAATCACAAAGCGCTTCAAAATATCATTACCACTGCATGAAGAATTGATAAAATCCCACTGAGGGTTCATCCCCCTGACAACTCCTCAAATTTTCAACCTAGAGAATACTCCCACTACGCAGAAGCCTCCCATCCACCCTGCCCAGGGCAAGGCTGTGATAATTTTGCCTGACTCAAAGGCCATAGCCCGCCCTGCTCCTGCTGTTAGGGAGCTTCTCTATGGTGTTTTCACCCTCAGCTTTGCCTCACAGGGTTCTGCTAGGGCCGCCCTGGGCAGCAGCGGTGCAGACACAGCAGTGATTTCCTCAGGACCAGTCTGAATCCACCCCCGCCTGCACATCAGCAGCACTGCCGTCCTCCATCCTGCCAGCTCCTCAGCACATGCACCCCTAGGACACCCCAGCATACAAATTTACCCATAACTTGACCCCAAGAATTAAATTAGTTGAGAAAAAAATCCCAGGCAGCCGATTCCCTCCTGACTTTGGGCAGGGCCTGGCCCAACGGGAGCACAGTGTGCCCAGGCCCAGGGAGCGACGCTGCCGCTGGCACCGCTTTGCTGCCCCGAACCCCACCGGCTCACGGGTCAGTCCAGGTTCCCAGCTGCAGCAAACATGCTCACCCCTGACTCATCATCAAGAGCCAAAACTCAGTTTGCCCAAATTTATTACCAATTCTAGGATTAGATTTAATGCTTCATGCAATCAATATACTAGATACGATCATTGCCTCTTGCGTTCTTCATGGGAAGGACGCACAAAAAAGGATGCAGGCTCTTTGGAAGAAATACAGTGCAGTCAGAAAGGATGGCAACTCATTAATATTCTGTTTCTGTAGTGAGAAGAAAATTATTGTTGAATCGTTTAGGTTGGAAAAGACTCTCAAGATCATCCAGCCCAACCGTTAACCTAACACTACCAGGCCCACCAAAATAATCAATAAAACATCACCCCTTAGACAATTTATTAAATATCAGCATGGAAATTGGGAAGAGTAATCCTCAGACAGCCGGGTGATTTAGCACCTCCTTCAGCGCTTTTCTGAAGGAGGCGCCTCAGCCCACCTTAGTCTGAACATTGCCTTTGCGCTCACCACTGTCGGCCACAACAGCCACAAAGCTCCATCGCCTGCCCCAGGCACCAATGGGGAAATTGAGAACTCGAAATACGGACCATCAAGCTTTTCTATGCACAAAGAGAGAATTTCAAGTCAATCCCTAGATATTAACACAACGAACAAGTTACATTATTTAGGCTCCAAAGGCCAACAGTTGAAGCCGCATGTGAAACCCAGGGTTGCCCACCTGATTCAGTTGTGTTTCCCTCGCATGTGTGTGACCGGGTCCTTTGGCAAAGTATCATGTAATTCTGTAATTAAGGGCTGGGATGTAAAATACCCCTAGAACAGAGCCAAATTAAGATTGCATAAGAAACTAGAAATAATCTTCCCTTAGTTCTCAAGTTATTTATTAAGTAATTTTTTTTGTCTTATATGTATAAAAACAAAACAGTAATATTTGGGAGAAAAAAAAGATCAAAAGCTCCACTGGATCCAACTGTTTACTCTGTATGAACAGAAGGTTTGTAAGCCTGTACAGATCACTTGGGGACAAGGGTGTCTGCGGTCCCTGGCAGTGGGCAAACACGTTTGGGAGGAGGCAGAGCTGCAGCCAAGCGTGGCCAACAGCACCTCCTGATGACGCCTTCCTCACTTGTCTTCCTCAGATGCAGGAGCTACAAGAGCTTCCGTTTTTACAATTTTGCCCACTCTGTTCTTACAGCAGAAGAACTATAAAGTAGTGCTAAAACATTTATTTATTTATCTATGCAGAGGAGAAATGCCTCGGTGGCCCGGCTCTTCCTCATTCAGAGGAGGAACTGCCCCTGGCCACCCCTGTACCCACGTGAGCAGGCAGGGAGTTCAGCCTGGAGAAGAGGAGGCTGAGGGGAGCCCTTATTGCTCCCTACAACTGCCTGACAGGAGAGGGGAGCCAGGGGGGTCAGGCTCTGCTCCCAGGGAACGGGAGACAGAATGAGGGGAAACGGCCTCAAGTTGTGCCAGGGGAGGTTTATGTTGGATACTGGGAAAAATTCCTTCCTTAAAAGGGCTGTCAAGCACTGGAATGGGCTGCCCAGGGAAGGGGTCGAGTCCCCATTCCTGAGGGTATTTAAAAGCCGGGCAGACGAGGTGCTTAGGGCCAGGGTTTAGTGGTGGGATGGCAGGGTTAGGGTAACGGTTGGGCTTTGTGATCTTAAAGGTCCTTTCCAACCCAAATGATTCTGTGATTCTGTGTGCACACATATCGGTGCAGAGTTGCTCCTTCATATGAGGAAAGCTTTATAAATAAAAGGTTTTTTATGGCTCAGGCAACTTAAGTTGGGCAAAGCAGCAGTTCTATCTCCCATACGACCCCCGT